AAATAAAATAGAAATAGATGGATGTAGCTAGATTCTATCCAAAGACCAGACCAGAGATACATTGCTGTTATTAAACTTCAAGTTGCTTGAAGTCAAACTTCAAGTCAAAAAAAGATATGCCATCAATACGTCTCATTCCAATCAGCGGCTTCTAATATTGTGTTTGCCATTCCTCTCTGTCTCCACCACCTGGAGGTAAATAAAAAACAAAACAAGAAAAAAAAAAAACCTGTCATCAGTGCAAACTAATGAGATGTGACAACACATAATGCTAAAGGCAACCAGCTTTAAACGGGGGGAGGTGGGTTTGAAACGGTGGCAGAGGTTGTAAATGGATTTTCTGGAAAAATAAAAGAATTAGAGACCACTGAGGGAATACAGGATGACGTAAACTGTGGCCGAGCGGGAGCTCTGCCGTTAATGCGTGTCCCGTGCACTTTGTGTCGAGCCGTGTGAGGCTATTCATCCATCCAGCAAACAGCCCTTATTCGTTTTTAATCAGGACATCTAAAAAAATGAGCGATAATCGCTGAGTCACGGCCCAGACACTTTTAGCTGGAATAGAGAGAGAGCGCACAGGAAATCAGCACCTGTTGCTTCAGGTAAATAAGATCCATTTCCATGCGTGTGCCGGAGCACAGATGTGGAGGACAAAATGAGTTATGAGAGCAAAACGCAAGAGCTACTGATACGTCTTATCTGAAGAATGTCGTTCTTATTGTACCGGATATTAGGAACATGAGCAGACAGCTAAACTGATTAAGCCTGATTTGAAAGAATGATGCTGCTGGAGACAGTTGTATGGGTGCGATTGTGTATCTCTCTCTCTCTTTCACACACACAGACGAGTCCTAAATCATAGCCCTAGGAGACTTGGACCAAAGTGAATCATGCCAGTCTGATTCAATAAGAATTGAGCAGCATGACAGGGCTCCTGCTTGGCAGTTGGAATGGGACCATATGGAGGCACCGGGTCAGCTCCTATGTGCCAGCTGAGCCTGTTCAGGGGACATTCCCTTTTGCTTAAGCACCTGATCCCTTTGCCCCTCCAACGCAAAGGGAAAAAGGTCTTAGTTTCTATGCTTCCAGCAAGGTGAGATTTGCATGCCGTCATTCCCCATTCTCTAAATATGGAATCAACGATAAAAAAATGGTGGTTACTAATATATAAGCTGTTATGTAATATCATCAAGCTACCTGCCAAAAAACACCTGAACGTCCGATGTACATAAACATCCACACACTTCTGCACACATGGATTGAGACATCACATGATATTGCTCCCTATATATATATTTTTTTGTTTAAGATTGTTCCTGCAGTGACCCAGTTCTATGTTTGCTTCGTTGCTGCATTTCTTTTCTTTTTAAACAACGAGGCAGGCGGGCGGTTATGTCACTTTTTTTATTTTAGAAAGGGATTTTTGTCTGTTTGCATGGGGAAATCCGTTCAAATCCCCATCCGTAGAAATCCATCTGCATTCCTCAAAGTTTCAGCCCTTTGAATCTGAAGCTGCTGGCTTTTCTGTAGCCTTCCCATTCGTGATTTACACAGTCTCCCACCTAGATGCTGCAGGACTTCCTGGTGACGCACAGCAGGGGGCGGGACTGATGATGAAAGGTGTCCTGATGTGACACATGTTATAGTAGACAGATACATACAGACATACTGCAAAGATCACCCACTCACAGCCCGCCTCTAATTGCAGGGAAACCGTCATTTATATAGCATGTACATGCAAGCTCCACTCACGCTTGTGTGGTAAAAAGCCTGGGCGTCTATCATCATGCTGTTGGAATTATAGCAGAAACCTTTTAGCCAGTACAGAGTTGAGTGTTTATTATAAGGTTATCTTCAGGGAAATGATTAAAGGGAGGCCTTGCCCCTCTGCTTACAAAAGTTTAAATCCACTATTTTGTCTTTATCTTCCTCTAAAGCTATTCCTCCTATCAAAAATAGTTTAGAAAATAAAGCCATCTCCAGTGTAATCTTCCCTTTAATGTTATCATTCCTTCTCTTGCCGTCAGTCAGTGAAGTGTGAACTTTCATCCCAGTGGCAGGAGAGAAAGACGCGGGGGTGCACCCTAAGAAGATAATACAGAGAAAGAAAATGGAAAAAATGGTAAACTGGGCTCACTGATAAGGAGAGATTGGCAGAGCTGGAGATCAAAGGAAGGAGCAGAGGATGTAAGGGGGGCGAAATCCTGAAGAGGAAACGGGAACCGAGCTCGCAGAGTCATCCGCAACAGAATGTTGCGCGTGTGGTCGTGTGAGATAGTTTTGTCGTCTTGTTGTTGTTTTCACGGCGTTCACACAGTATTAACACAGCTAACAAATATGTGCAGGATGAAATAACCCCCACCACACACCACCCCTTGCACGTTGCATTCACAGACACTAAATAAAAGGCAGATCTATGATTACGATTGTCACGGAATTTCCATTTTGCTGAGTTTTTCTCGGGACATTATCATTAACCATTAGCTGGTTACACCTGTGTAATTACACAGAGTGAAGGCCATGAGTTTTTATTCATTAACTCTACACTAATACGCCTCACTCATCATCACTATATTAAATCCGCTGTGAAACAAAACAGACGCGCCGAGAACACAAACAGAATTCCATCTCGTCCAGACTGAATTTATTGTTGCCCTTTATTCGTGGCTCAAAGTGTAATTAAGAGTTGCTCGGTGAGAAATAGAGCAGGAGGTGGGCAGATAATTGCTCAGAGGACAGGTAGAGTGGAACAGAGAAGACACTCGATGAACTGTGTCTGTTTTTTTTTAATCCTCGGCGGCCTCTCTGAAAGTCTGAAAATCTCACCAGTTATTGTCTGCTAACAGGCCGTCAAACTGGAGGCTGCAGATTAGTTAATTACATAAGAGTGAATTCGGTGCCGGGGGAACCAGTGCTATACAGGCAAAAAAAAGTCGGACATACCAGAGCATGTCCGGTGAGCCACAACCGAACACTCAACCTTTTCCTTTCTTTTTTTTTTTAGAACTCTCTGGAACTAATGAGGTCTCTCTTGTCCGGTAAATCAGCTGCCAAACAGTTCAGGGTGTCCCGCGTTGCTCTCTTTTTCTCATGACTCGGCTCTTTTTTTTCAGGTCTGCTCAGCAGCAATGTTTCCCGGCCTTATGTTCAGTTTTTTTTTTTTTTTTTTTTGGCACGTTTGTCTTGAATTTGTTGATGCATCCATTGTGTTTATTTGCAGAATCATTTCCCCACATCTGTGATGATTATGTTCCATAGACAACGGCATGAATATTGATATTAATCAGAGTTCATACTGTTCCCTATCGGTCCTGAAAAAAGCTTAAATAGAATTTTGTCAGATTTAGATTCCGTAGCTCCTCCAGATTTGTGCCCAGCCTTTATTCTTCTTTGCTTTCATACAATGCACGGCAGCAGATCTGCTGGGTTAATGAATATTGATTCTCCAGAACCTTTTAAGGTGCATTGTGGGACACTGTGAGTATGCTGTATATTTCAAACTGAGCCCAGGTTTTGTTAGACCGTAGCACATCTATTTTTCATGAGTGATTACCTCCCTCTTAGAAGTTCCCAAAGCTTTGCTTTTTCTCTGCCGGTTCTCCACTGTTTGTGTGTGTGTGTTACCTGTGTGTGTGTGATTGTCCACCCTGTTTCCTGCCCCCTGCCACTGCTCATCGCTTGTTGGTGGCATATTAAACACAGCAGCTCCTTGAGTTTGTTGATTGTTGTCAATTAAGTAATCAGATTTAGTTTTCTCTTCATTCTTTTGTCTTTAAACCTGCATTTGGGGCCTCACCCCTTCTCTCACTGTGCCAGTTGTTTTGATCATCCAGTCGACATCAAAGGTAAATTAACTAATAAATCTGTAAATAAATAAGAGAAAAGCAGGAAGTTATTTTCAGTGATAAGCAGCGGTAGACCTTGGACTGATGAAGGCCTTTCTAATAGCGATTTTATTTGCACATTCTAATAAACACAGATGCTTTTATCTCAATTGTACTGAATGTATTGATGACATAGTGACCAATCAGAATAACTAAAGGAGAAAAAAGGAAAAAGGATTATTTTTTATCCTTCAAGTATCTCTCGGAAGGTAAAAACTGAGGATGGGGGTGGAGAAATGAGGCTATTTCGGTCTTCCAGCCTCCGAGCCAAGAAACAGGAATTCCCCTGATATTCAGAAATGTTTCCATCTCTCATGATACACAGCCGGGATCTGTATGAAGAAACGTGCCCCATTATTTCTGCACGGCTCATTGACTGCTATTATGCGATAGATTTAGCATATGCTTCATCGTGTCTGCTGCAGGGTTGTTGAATTAAGTTACTTCCACTGTCTCATCCTCCACAGCATCCAACAGCACGGCTCACGTGAAGGCTTATTTTCTGATCACAGCACTCGACACGTTAAAGTGTTTTTCAGTGATAGGTCTGTTTGACCCTGATCCTTCACCGCCACTTATTTTGCCAATTCACCCATCCGAAATTCCCCACAGTAACCATGAAGGTTTCATTTAGCTGATGTAATGCGTTGGGGTAAACACTGAATGGAGTTACGCTGAAGGTGACACACCATAGGAGCACATCAGGCCCAGCATGGGGAAATCAACCCCCCCCCCCCTCCAGGGAGAGGATGCCGGCTGTGGCAGGACTCTAGGCTGCAGGTGCAGCAGAAGTCAATACTCAGGAGACCAGATTTAGCCAACAGCTACACTTTACCGTCACACTTAAACGTGTTAATTTTCATGGAGAAGCTATTCGATGGTCCTGTTTGCGTGGTTAGTGTCATCTGATCAGCTCCAGTTAAATAAACGCTGGTAATTGAAAAGACGTGTGGTATGTGGCATGAAGCAGCCATCTGCCTTTAGTCCCTTCCGAACACTGTGTGCCGCTCCCCCGTGGTCCAGCCTGCTAAAAGTGGCGGCCAGCGAGCGTCACACCCACAACCACAACACTTTGTTCCGTCGATAAGCCGGGGGATCAATAGCGTTCGGCTGTTCATGAGCAGCGGCACGGTCGCCGTGACGCCGTCAGGCCTCAGCTGGCATTTCCAAGCTGTCTCCACAGACAGACGGACAAAAGACCCGTCCTCGGCCGTCAGGTTTGGCTTAATAAAAGCAGCCAGAAGGGCCCTTGCTGTCGGACAGAGCAAAAAAGAGAATCCGGAGAATCCCGCGGACCGAGGTGAACTTTCCAAAGATCAGCTTGTCGCAGCGACTCAGGAAACATCCCTGAGGTGAGCCGTGGGTGACAGCTGCTGCCGCTCCTCTGTCGCAGGTAAATGCCAGGAGCCCCACTTGGATACACAGGCTTGCTTATACATAAACACACACACACACACACACGTGCACACGCCGACATCACCGCGTCTTACAAAAAAACCAGAAGAGGCCCGAGCTGGCTTAGCATTTGCAGCACTGTCACCATGGAGAATAGAGTTGAACGGCAGAGGTTGGAGGCATGCGTGCACCTGTTTGTGCTCAGATACAGTCCCTCATTGTAATAAAGCATATACAAAACTGCAATTGTCTTCATCTGCTTATCCTCCATTTTATTCCCAGGAAATGGGGTCAAGTTGAATACTAGCTGTAGAAGGGTGCTTCAATGCAATAAAAGGATGTAAATGATCATATGTCATGCACAGAAGGCTGAAATTGTTCCATGACATCAACAATCGTATTATAAATGAGCGTTTAAATTATTTCACCATGCAAACTACGAAGCGCCACTTTAGATAAGAGTTCCCCACACTGAGTTTGTATCTTTTATCAGGATGCTCTCCCTGAATGCATGTTCAAATGTCTAACAGGAATCCAGGGCGTGCATCAGTTCAAGTGATTGTGATTTTCTGATGGGTTAGGAGGGTCCCTGGGTTTTTCTTTTATGTCGAAACATGATGTAACACTAGAAAATTCATGCATGCACACACACGCACGTTCAAACAGACAAGCAGTACACCCATTCCCACTCGCACAAAAAGCTTTTGATTTCCTTTGAGAGGCAGCACAGATGTGCAGCAGTGGGGTGACTGTTTTCAGTAAGTGCTGATTAGATGCACATTATTGATTCTGTGCATTGATTTCCCGCCTCATCTGCTCTTATTGGTTTGCAGCAGCCATGCTATGATGAATGGTAATAATTACTGTAAAACACAATTGAGTCCTCATTTTACAGCCTCTCCTTGAGGCTTGTCTCATATATCTCTGAGTAGGATTTGAAAAGCACAGAAGTGTAAACAAGCAAACAGACAAATTAAAGCATTGAGACATCTATTTTTTTACGATAGGATGATGAAGAAGGGTTTTGCTCGGGGGTGCAGTACCGGAGATGACCACCAGGGGTCTGTAGAGCGACACAGATGCGGCCCACGGACAGTGGCTCTACCGTGGACAACAGCCACGTTTTGTTTTTGCTCCACAGACTCTGAATGTTGTGACAACTGGCCTCCACAGTGTTGTTTTTACAGAATACCTGCACACAACAGCTTTTTAACCAGGAGGGTCTCATACAGCTGCATCCGTCACATCGTCACTGTGGAGGAAGCGGCCAAATCAGGGAAATAACAATCTGATTAGACAGAACATGATTAAATTATCATACATTAACAAGTAATAGTCAGACTTTATTCACACATCGTTTCATATTGTGTTATTTCCTTTAACGGATGCTGTTCAGATTCTGAATCAAATGCATTGTTTTGAATTTCAAGACCACATTTCTGAATAGTCGTTTTCTTAGAGGGAAAATTGCTTGAGTAAATCTCAAAAACCTCCTCAGGGGTCTTACTTGGTGATATATATCCACCGATCATTTGTGTGTTTTGTGTGAAAGTGTTGAAAAATAGCACACAATGCAGTTTGTTATTGGGGTTTGTTTGAGAAGGAAAAAGGAAAAACTACCAAAACTAACACAGAGACACAGATACAATACTTTAATTAGCCGTCCATGAATAAACATGAGAAATAGTAGGACACCTGAGCATGTGCAGAGACTTTCTGGATGGCTGAGAAGCTGCTGTGCTAACCTCAGCAACCCAACAGAAACACAACACAAGCTAAAAATAGATCCGCATTCTGTATTAGTTCTTTACGGATGATGTTGTGACTGATGGGTGTCTTTTCGATCTTGAATGTTTCAGCAAAGGGGAGGTGGCGTCCATCGAGACAGAGCTACTTCGGGACTACCGGTTTGGGCAGCAGCAGCTGATAGAGATTTGGGGACAGGCCTGCGCCCTCGCCATCGCTAAGGTCTGTATATCCTCTTTCTATGCCTTTTTCCCCCTTGCATAACTCCAAATTTACAGCAATTATGAAGCTAATCTCAGCACGAAGCCAACCCACAAACCCATCAGAGCTCCCACCTCCTTCCTTCCAGTCTTCTAAATCCGGGTGCTTGTGAGTGGGCCATCGGCTCTATTGTGACAAACAACAGCTGAGATAAATAGCATCCTTCCAGGATGTTGTTTTTGCAGGGTGGTTGTTTTCTGTGAAACGGGCCACAGCCTGAATTCTCCGAGGCAGTCGCTCTCTCTTTAGGCCGTTCAGAGCCACCTAACGCTCGACGGTGTTTACAATCTAAAATGACGTTTTCGTCTGAATCTTTTTTGCTTTTTACTTTCCACACATAACGGGAGGGTTGCTCTGACTCGGGTCCAAACAGAACACCTGAGCTCATGCAGTGGTGGCGCTCCACCACCTGAGCCCCGGCCCACAGCACCAGCTCCTCTTCTTCCTTCTGTGGCTGCTGTTTTCATCTGGATCCTGTCAGCCTGAGATGTGTGTCACTGGAGGGCTGTTAGGAGCACATGTGCTCGCCTTTGCCCAGACCGCCGGCTTGGTTTGATGCCACGCTGGTTTCCTTGCTGGGTTCTTCAAGGGGGCTGAACTGAAACACACATGAAACCCGTACGAGGTGGAAAGAGGGAAACGAGACCCAGAAAGACGAGCGGAAAAAAAAAAAATGAACAGCTTAGAAGTTGATAGAGGTGGTAGCACCGGTTTAGAGATATGAGGCAGGAGCAGGAACGGGCTGTGGAGCAGCATCAGTAAGAAGCAGATACTCCGCGTTCCCTCCTCCGCGTGTGTGATTAAACACACCACATCCACTTCCTCCGTATTATCTTCGGCCCCTGCTGGCGTCCGGCCTGGCCCCTCCACCACCAGACCCAACGGCGTAGGCTTACTGGACAAACATGCCCTGGATGCTGGAGACCACCGCTAGCCCGCAGCCGCCGGCAGCGCGCTACCGCTCGCATGACATCACCTCTATTTGGGGGGAAATTACGGCAGGGGGGAGACGCAGACAGTCTGATTTCACTGATTTCATAGCTGGCCCCGCTTTCGCCGGCTACCGCAAGAACAAGCGCAGTCAGACACACACCTCCACCTCTGGCTGCCAGATAGATTATAGGTTTTTCTGTAAGTAATCCCTTTAGTGCTCCGGCAGCGGCGGCCGCAGCCGTCAGCTCCAGACCGCGTGTGTGTGTGTGTCTCTGTATCAGTCTGAGGCTTTTCAACACCTGAGCGGAGACAGGAGGCATTTCTGTTACCGCACGGCAATAAATTAGTCTGTAGTTTACAGGAGCCTCCGGACTTCGATTCGGCCCTCTAGAACAAATATTAGAAGCTGTGTTTTTCTGTGAGTATTTTTTTGTGTTCTTAGGCCCCTGGCAGTGTTTTCTCAAGCCCGATGTGTGTTTCAGGTTGATTGAGGAGGTTCATGTGCTTTTAGGGTTTATTTCAAAGAAGTCGCCCCCTCACAGGGATATTTTCCACGAAGCACATTTGAGATATTCGCTGCCCTTGACCCTGAACTCTGAAGGCCGATCCGTGAGCACCCTTATGTACTTTTTTAAGTAGACAGCACAGTGCTTAAAGAACAAAAATGTAAAGGAGTATCTCCACCAGCAGTCGCTTATTGGGAAGCAACCAGATCAAAAACCTGTTGAAAAGGATAAGAAACCAGCTGTCTGCACTATTAAAAACCTCATACACAGCAGAAATATCAAAGATATCTCTGGAAAACATCTCAGCAAATTTATGACTGCAGGTTGAGTAAAGAAATTTGTTTTTCCTGGGAATAAAATACATTGCAGGACTGCGAGTTGATTTTGGAATAAATGGGCTGCAGGATATTTGACTTGAAATAAGAAACTGGGCTTTCTTCTCAGGTTGAACATAAATCTATGCAAAAAACATGAAAAAAACACAGAGAAATTAGGTCATACTTGCAAGCTGCACTTTATATTAGGGGAAAAAAAGTGATGATATTGAAAACGAGGTAGAAAAGCACAATCCACAAAGCTGGTGCCTCACCAAGACCCCGTTACATGTTCTATTCACCACTTTTTTGAAGGCCAGAATCAGAATAGATAACTTGTATGTGCAATTTGTCTTGAAGAGTAAAGCCTCACAACCAGAAGGTTCACAGAGCATCACAGTTCTCAGAGGACTCCTGCACAAAGTCTCCCGATGACTCTTAACATGAGAAAACACTAAAGCTTTTCAAAAAACATCTTCAAACTCAGTCCCATGCTTTATTTTCCTGCGTTTTCCGTGTGTTTTTTGTTTCGACATGCGCACAATTCCACAAGAGCATGTTTCCCTGTTTTGTTTCTGACAAGCTTCTGAGAAAAAAACAAACAGTTTTTGCTTCATAAATGCCACATTGTGTGTCTTTGTGCCAGTCGTTCGCCACACTGAGGAAGCAGTAAACAGCGGATTTATCAGGAGCTGAAAATAGCTGCCTGTTGAAACTGGGAGATCACAGAGCTGAAGGCCTGAGAACGGTGGTTCAAAATGAAATAAAACATCACAAAGCAACTCTGAAAGGACTCATCTTTGGAAGTAAACCTTTTGCATTTGATGTGAAAATACAGATAAAGTATCAAACTTTGGTCTTATTGTACAACATCCTCAATCTGAGCCTTGTTTTGTGGTTCAGTGCATCACACTTTAACATTTTATGTGACAGCTAGTTTAATCAGGTCATAGTTTATTAAAGCAATGTATGATTTAGATTGCAAACAAATGGAAAGTTATTAAATGATGATCACGTTCGTGTGGCTCCTCTCTAGGAATGACTCATTGTGTTGTTCTATTGTCTTCTAATCAGTGTTTTCCTCAGCACCACTGCCTCGCCTCCCTCTTTGTTACCGGCAGCCATGTGGCCCACGGCAGCCATGACAACCTGCCTGCCATCTCATTGAGATTGTGTGATGATTTCTCAGTTGAACTGTAAAGATGGAGATAATGAAGGCCGGTTTTCATCCTGGATTAACCATTCCGCTTTAAGTGCTGTGGGCCTTGCATCCCATCCAACATGGGGGATGGCCTGTTTCTCTGCATGCGCTCTGAATAGCACTGAAAACAATCCTGAAAGTGTAAATGAATTATATGCAAGTTACAGGAGGAAATGCATCAACTCGCTATCAGCACCTAATCAGCCAAAAGCTTGGAAATGAAATTAGTTTTGTGATTTTGGTGTGTAACGCACAGATAGAGACACAATGAAACAAGTATCGGGATAATCCCTAAAAATGTAATGGGTTACTCCATAATGACTTTAAGATGAGATCAGGAGCTTTGCACATAATCAAGTCAAACTGCCAGAGGCCACAAATGCATCAATTATTTACCTATTTAGCCACAAGAATCTGAAATCGCTTCAGAAATTCTTGGGCTGTAATTTGGGTTTTGTGAACTGAGGCAATCATATTAGCCTCAGTTGTAGGATGCAAATGGCGGAGAGAAAACCCAGTTAATTGGTATTACAACTTGTACTCTGAATAACTTTTATTGGGCTCTAATAGGACGAAATTTCATAAACTCTCTCAGTTTACCTTTCTTACTCCGATTCTTGTAATTAGGCTGGGACTTAAACTATGATGAACAATGATCCTTGCATCGTGTAATGAGGCATAAAAAAAGAGTCCATGTCATGGCAATGGATTGGGTGCAATAAAGAGACTGTGGGAAAGGCAGGGGGAGCCTTTGGGGATGTTGGTAATGTCGTCTTTTAGTGCGTCCAAACCTACAAGCACTCGCTCACTAAAGGAGCACCTCCGCTTAGGTGAGGGAGATGGCAGCTCTTTTCGGCGAATACCTGTCCGGTTTAAGGAGGTGTGGGGTGATTTACAGCGGAGCAGTGGGCCCGTAAACAGAGACAGAGGCCGGAAGCTTGCCGCGCTTCGCTCTTAAACGGAAAGCGTGTTATATATACTGAGGCATCCCATGAAGAGGACGTTGGTATTTTTTCCACTGCTGTCAGAGCTATTTTAATGAGATTGAGCCTTCTCCCATGGACCAAATGGACAGAGAAGCTGGTGCCATTTTCAACCTCTTCTGGCATTCTTGGCATGCTACAGTAAGGTATTTAGAGGACAATGCAGATGCTCTGGTGCGGATCGTATGACTTACCCCGAATAAGTAAACTAAGGTGGAGGGATAATGCAAAATATCGCTGGCAATCAGTCTTCCTTTTGCTCCAGTATCGCTTTCTGTTTTGTACATCTCTTTTAATCGTGTGTTTTTTAACTCTTTGCCAGGCGTATCCTCTCAGCTCTCTGGGAAAGAAGCAGCCAACAGTGCTCGTGATCTGTGGTCCGGACCAAAATGGCTCCATTGGCCTGGTGTGCGCTCGACACCTGCGCATATTCGTAAGTATAAAACACAAACGTCCGGCGGCGTGACAAATAATCAGTTAGGAAACGACGTTCCGGCCCGAATCGAATCCTCTAAGTAGTGCAAGACTTGTTTAGCTTTGTGTCATGACTAACAGGGGATCCGGTCTACAGGCCCCCGGCGCTTTACACAATGTCATCTCAGCTCCTGTAGACGGCTTGGAGCAGTTATCCCATTACCCTCTCTGCCAGGGCACTGAGACAGCCATGACATCATGCTATTGTTACTCCCATTAAAGTCGCCTTAAAGCCGACAGCCGCAATGTGATGTCATGAGAGCGAAGTCTGCAGTCCGGCTGCGTTCTGACTGACATGTGGAGCGGCACCGGTTCATGATTTCCGCCTCTTTGTCCTGCTTTACTCAGTGGCTTTACTGCTAGAGAAAATGTCAGATATGTGTTTTTTGGGGCTCTTTGGTTTAGAGTGGAATCCATATACACGCTTTACCATATGTGTCTGACACGCTTTGCCGTGCAGTCTTCCTCCCTTCCCTCTCCTCCCACTCCACTCCCCGACAATGAAAATCACAGGGTCAAAGGCCATCTTCCGAGGAGACATTTTTACCCCCAGAATCCCACATATAATAAAAAGTTCCTGTGTGACTTTACATGGAAAAACGTTCAAAAGTATCGCGTGCTGTGTCTGCTGCCTCGTGCTTTTTTCCTTTTCAAACAATTTCAACTTCCACGTTTGTGCTTTTCATCCGTTTGTAGAACGCGTCCACACAAGCAAAGAACAGAAATCTATTATTCCGAGCTTTGAAAGTGAATACTTGCAGCACCCAGCCGGTTTGGACCACACTTTTGAGTTTTTCACAAAGCAGAAAATATGGAAAACTTACTTTGGGCAGAGAATGACTTTCCCTGTATAAGAGTGTATGTTTTTCATGGTGCGATGTGATCCCTGTCAGCAGGATGACACGCAGGCACTCACATGATACACACACATAAAAAAAAACACACAGCGCTCAAGCTTCTACACAAAGCTGTAAATGTGATTAGGCAGAGCCTGGAAAGGAATGATCAGCTGCGGGAAAAAGGGTCCAGCCTGCTTCTTTCATAACTTTGAGATGTCCATGTTCACAAAGAATCTCCTGTTCATCTTTCATTCCTCCAGGTATGAGAGGGAGCAGACTACGGAGCACCTGGAGGGCAGAAATATGCCAAACGGTTCAGGAAGCCAAATAAAAAGCCACCTGATTGTGACTTCTGGTGTTGTGTTCCCATTAAAATAAGAAGGCATGAGGTTGTAAATGACTTTGTGTCTAAAAACAAGCACTTCATGGAAACTTTACCATGTTTGACACATTGTACCTCCTAACCACTGTTTTAAACATTAGTTGCAAAACATTTGTTCCGGGTGGAAATGAAACGAAGAGCAAATGCCCAGCATGCCGCTTTCCATAAAGAAATAAATGCAATAACATAGATTTCACCTTTTCCCTTCATTGTAAATGGACTGGGTTTAAAAACAGACAAGTACAAGGCACCGGCCCCCCTCAGGGATTGGAAGTGTGACCCCGTTAAACGGGAACATTTACTGGAAAAGAAACCCTTTCTGCACCATTTGCTTGCCTCGGTCTCATGGCTCAGTGGCCTTGACAGCCATTTAGAGCTTCCCTTCAGTTTCAGATATTTTGATAGCATAACTGCTGATAGGGTCAAGTGCATGAAAGAGCCACTTTGTAACCCCGGGGGGGGGGGGCGCACAGAGAATTGGCCTCTGCTTGGCTCTATGCTCTGTGGAGATCATGATGGAGATAACATGGGTGGCAACAAGACAGATCTGAGATAGCTGAAGAGTTATGGCTCTGCCTTTTAAAGGATGGGTCAACACAGCAGTGAAAAATCTTTATGTTCTTCACTCAGGGACTAAATGTGCATTCCAAATCTTATTTTAGTATAAAAAAACAGCCTCTCTTCTCAAAATGATATCTAACAGAAAAAAGAGTGAAAACAAGAAAACTTTAATCATTGTTTAGTTTTTAGAATTTTGATTTATAACTTGAAACTAAAACCAATCTTCACTCAATCATCTTTGGATTTATTAGTTGAGAGTAAATCACAATACCAGTAAATGTATGTTATGATCACTATAAAAACACATTTGATACTGCGAAGTTCTTTGCAAAAAGTGCTAAAATAATGCAAATGCAGCAGAACATAAAATACCTCGAACCTCCATTTTACAGAAGTGTGTCCATCCCAAAAGGATGAAGCAGCTGCTCCGCCTCCTGCCAGTAGTTTCAGTTAAATAAAAGATTAGAGCATGTTTGAACAGACAGAGAAAGTCAGAGAACCCATTTTCGTGTTTAAGCACTCTACCAACAATGTCCTGCACCTATATGATAAAAGAATAAACCTTTTTCTTCTCCATGGCCCCCGTCTCACAGCTAACACAATTTGTGTGAATTGACCCTTTAAAGCTGATGCTCTCAGTAGTTTATGACTCTCGACATGATTACATAATTACACGGGATAAGTTGTTTCTCTTTGCGTAGGCGTAGATAAAAGGCATAAAGTTGAACATGCTCGGTTTCCACATATGAACACACAGGCTGTTGACCCACACTGTGGGTTGTGAATTTGAGATTTATCTTCGTGACTCGGTAAAGGTCACGGCTCAGCGATGCTTCCTCCTGAGCTTCACAGGCCTCTCAGGCTACCGGCTTCTGGATTTCTACTCTTCTCCGCTTCCAGTGTATAAGGGAGGAATTCATTCAGGAAGCAATCTGCAGAAACGGGCCGCTTCTGATCAGCAGTCAGCAGTATTTTCACTTGTCTCAAACAGCGGGTCAAACGTGCACGAACGCATTATCCCCACCGAACCCTTCCGGAGTTTGTTGAAAAGTCTTTTCTCTCGAGGTAACCCTTCTGTCCGTCTGTGTGTTTTTCTATTCCCTTCTATGTGATCTGATGCAGGACTATGAGCCCACTATCTACCATCCAAAACGCTCCCCGCACAGTCTCCACCAGGACTTCACGGTCCAGTGTGAGAAGATGGACATCCCCTTCCTCTCCTACCTCCCCACAGAGGTCAGAAACATTCATACCTACCGACACATTTTACAGGGGGGCTTCGGTTACATGGTTCCGGGCCGTAAACTTGAACTGAACTCACATTTGTGGTGGTTGTAGCGCAGCCATATCTACCTGGATGTGAGTGTTAGCATTATATCTTTGATGGGGTTAAAAAACAGCAAGCTTTTAAAAGAGTGTTCATTTTTTTCCTTGGCTGGGAATTTAAATGTTTAGTTTCGAACAACTACCAGTAAAAATCCCCAAAAATGATGAGTGAACTTTAAAGGGGTTCTGTTCTTGTAACTTTTGGACAGCTAAATGTTTCTCTTCTCTTTAACCGTCCTGCTAAGATAAGCTAATGGTCTGTTTTAGAATAAATGTCAACCTCAGCTGCTCCCAAGGAAAAAATCTGACACTTTGGCTTGCAGTGTCAGGAATCTCTGTGCTTTAATGTCACAATATGCACAAATCTCCTCACTGTTTAATAGGAAATGGCAGACCAAGTCAAAACTACACCAGTGGGAACCTCGCTTACAATATCTTTTTCATGTTTGCCCAGAGATGTACAGACTCAGTGACTATATGAAGGAATGTGTTGTTGTGTCCTGCTTCATAAAGGAAACACCATAAAGCAGATACCAATGAGTGCATTTTGGACCAGACCTGGTTGTTACTGTAGTTTTTGGCTTTAACTTTAACTACAAATGGTTTTGATTAGGAATGGTTTCATATATCCAGGGTGTCCAGTCGGTTCTTTGGAAAATGGCATGTTTAAACATGCTGAAATCATGTCAGAGGTATTTTCAAGCGAGGTATTTCTATAGATCTGTTTTAATTTGACTAAGGATATTAGTCTAAGGATATTTGTGAATTCATACTAATCGCTAAATGATTTTCTCTGCTCAGGTGCAGCTCATAAACGATGCCTACAACCTCGTCATAGATGCCATGCTGGGCCCGGAGTCGGACTGTTCCAACATCAAGGAGCCATATTCTGGCATTCTGGTCACCTTAAAGCAAGTCAAGATCCCCATCGTCAGTGTGGATGTGCCGTCAGGTAAGCTTCAACCACGGGGCAGTTATCAGACTTACACTCAGGATAAATGAGCCACAAGGCAGATCCCCAGGAGAGAGGAGTTTTTTCCAAACCCGGAGGCACACATGGAGAATAAATCTTGTGCATTATGACTAACACACAAGGGATTAAAAGGGCTCATCTCTTTCTCCTGCAGGTTGGGATGCTGAAGAACCGTGTGAGGATGGGATAAACCCAGAAGTTCTTATCTCACTCACAGCACCAAAAAAGTGTGCCATGAATTTCTCTGGCAAGCATTTCCTGGCTGGACGCTTCCTGCCCTATGACATGCAGAAAAAATACGAGCTCAATCTCCCCGACTACCCCGGAACAGACTGTCTCATAGAATTGTAACGCTTGGAGAAAAAAAAGGAGCTGGTGTGGCAACTCTTCCCATGTTTGCATTTTATAGATTGTTACTGTTATTTAATGTTTCCGTCTCAGCTGTTTAGATCTGGATACACACTAGCCAGGTTTGCTGTTGAGCTACCGTAGAAAAAACTGATATTTAGAAGCCGTGGTTTGAGTCGTGTATTTTTAGGGAATGGCCAAAAAAGAGTTTTTTGTGCGGGTTGACATGTTAAAGCTGTAGCATTACACTGTTTCTAATTCCCAGAGTCAGCTCAGAAAGATTCATTTTCTAAGATGCCAATCACTGGACTGTTTCCCTCTCAAACACATCTAATGTTCCAGCGCTGTTGTGTTCTCTTGCTTGCCTCGCATTTACGGTACTATTTGAGTGCAGATGAAACGATGTGGTGTTGGGTGGTGAAATTCAATTCTGTGTTTAGGTTTTTGTTTTTCTTTTTTTTAATGGCCAGCCTGCACTTTTGCATTGTTTAGTTTCAGGTATTTCATTTGACTTTACAAAAGGTGCAGACAGTTCTTGTTGTCCAATTAAAAACAAGTTTAGATTCAGAAAGTGTCTGTTTTTTCTTTATCAGAAGAGGCTCCAACAACTATTATTAAGCTTCCTATCGGACCACACATAGCAGCATCACTGTTTCAAACCACTTGATGATACATTTTCCTCAGGAATAAAATACAAACATCTTTAATAAGAACAATAGCTATTTAGGAGCTAAGCTCAGTAAAAGGTAGCTTGAACACAACCCAAATAGACATGCCGGCAATGATAATTCCACTGTATTTATTTGGAGCAAAAGTAAAGCCGTTGATAATCAGGATCCCTCTGCTCCAGCCCCCGTCAAATCACGACCGCTAAGCACCAAATCACCCATCCTTAAAATAAACACATCGCAGCCAATCTAGCCGGGCTCCTAAGATGAGCGCACACTGATACGTGTGTTTACAGCCTCCCAATCGGAGCTGATTTAGTAATGGAAGCCAGACGCAGGTGTGATCGGGCTGTAATCAGCTGGAGAGGAAGGCCTCTCATTAGTGAGCTTCGGAATGACTCAGACTGAGGTTTACCGTGCTGTTTATGGATGAGGTCATGTTTATTTATGCAAGCGCGGGAGCTTCTTCAGCCCTAATGTGCTAATGCTGTGTATGTGTGTGTATATTTGTGCGTATGTGTGTGTGAGTGTGTGTGTGTGTGAGTGTACAGCAAGTCAGTGAGATGGAATGCTTGTGCATTTCTCGCTCGATGGTATGAACTCTGTCACAAGAGAACTGAGAAGAGTTTTAGATGCATGTGTGAGCTCTCAGTGGTCTCGGTGTCCAAACCCCCCCAATAGGAAACGATGACTTGTCGCCACTCTGTTTTGCTTTTTAAGGAAGCGCATGAGTTCTGGGCCCAGAGGGTCAAACAGCTGCAGCCAAAGTCCAAACGCTGGTGACGACAGCAACTCTGGGCAGTGAGTGGATTATCGATCCAGTCCATAAAAAATGAAAGCCGATCAAAACTCACAGCGTAAGAAACCACATTGTGGTAAGAACTAGTTTCGAGGAAACAAAATCACCCACTTCTCCTTTTTCAAAGCGTTAACTGAGCGTTCTGTGTTGGCTTTTGTTTCTGCTCAGGGGTTTATTCCTGTAAATATTACAAAACAAAGACAGAAAAAAAGTGCAGCTTCACTGATACATTCCGAAGAGCTTCTTGCAGCTTAGATATTTTTAATTATTTACTTTTAAATGGAAACCTGATCATATATGACTAAGCACAAAATTCCCTTTGTGGCAAGGGCTGACTTATTGATCCTGAATCCACCCATTTGTAAGTCGGTAACAATGTTTTCTTTGATGGTGCGTGTCAGTTAAAACTCACCGGAGATTTTTGAAAACTTAGTCAGAAACCCTGCCGTCTATTGTAAAAAGTCACGTAAACTCAGCAACATTTAAACGTACATTTCTACAAGTAGATCGCTATTTTTGTCATGTCTTTGTCATTTTCAAACAAAACTCTAAACTTTATCTTACTTTAACAAAAACAGATGAGAGCTACTGAGTTACTATGAGTCAAGGAAGTTTGGACCATATCCAATTCTATCATCTTTGGTTTAAACTGGACAGACCAGCAGTCGAAACAAGCTCTAAATATGATATATATATATATTTAGTGCCTGACTCATTTATTTTTTCCCCATTCTGTGAGTAGGGCTCACTGAAGACTCTCACCCACCTCCCCTCCTCTCAGCTCCCATCAAAGTCTCCTCCAATTCCGCAGGACTCACCCGGTTACCCTAAAATTACACAGTCAGCAATAAAATAAAGATCTGGGCCGCGACCTTAAGTTCCTGAGCCAGGATTATAGACTTTTCGTTTGAGGCAGAAATGGCCTATGCCCGGTTTATTTTCGGTGACACAAACAAACAGCTGTGTGGGTTTGTCTGCCCAGGGCACAGGTCAGTTTACCCAGAATTCATCCCTTCGCGGGCAGCTGTGTGAGAGCACTGACACAGTGCGAGCCATCTTCCCAGACAAAATAAATCTGCTTTGTATTATGTGCCACAGATTGGAAATTGGCGCAATTTGTGGCCTGGCCTGTGATGGCTTTACTTGCGGTTTTATTCCTGTACCATTAAATGCAAGTGAAGGAGGGAAAGAGAAAAAAATCCCATTTTGAACAAATTACATGCCAACATGCTGTATTACATAGTGTGTCACAGATAAATGGCTGGAAAAGAGTCAGCCTTCCTAATAAATTCCGGGTCTAACTGAAAATGAGGACAGAGAGGTGTCACCTCTCCATGGATGGCCCCACTGGGCTTCACTTTCCCCGGTCAGCTAGAACCAGCATCGATCCCATCTGGTGGGACAATGTCTGTCATGCCATCTTAAGAAAAAAAGATCCATCCATCAACAAATACCCATCCATCTTCTATCCTTCCTATAGAAGATTCACACCCAAAGGCAATTTGGAGTGTCCAGTGGACCTAACATGCATGTTTTTGGATGATGGGAGGAAGCCAGTGGAACCCGTGCACACACAAGGAGGACATACGAACTCAACAGAACGGTCCCGGTTCCCCTGGGGACTCAAACCGGGAACCCTCTAGCTGTGAAGCGACGGTGATAACCACCACATAATCATGGCACGAAGAGAAAATACTGTAAAAAATGATGAAAATCAATTAACCTTCCAGAGCGGTACCCAAAATGTCTGTGAGATAAATGTCTGGAGCAGCGTCACACATTAAAAGTGGTTAAGTCATGTTGTTAAGTTGGAAATTGGTCTTTTTTAAAAACAGAATGATCAAATACCTGCTTATTCTGATCTAAATCGAATTATTTTTCTACCTCAGAAAGGCAGAACATCCCTCAGCCATGCTGACGAAGGCTTATGATATGTTATGATAAGACATAGAGAACCCACCAATGAACCATCAACACAGTGAAAATTGAATAACTTTTGTTTTTTTGGCAAAGGGGGAAACCCTTTTTGGCTCATGTTTTTGTTTGTACCAATTATAAACTTTGAATTAAAATCTAATCTAATCTGAGTTAAGGAACTCCTGAGTGCCTTTTCAAAATAATATCAAATGATTAAAAAGATAATTAAATTAAACTAGTTTAATTTTCGTAGTTTTTACAGGAGATCCATGTGCTTTTCAGGACCTCCAGTGCGTTGCACCTCATGATCTCGGCCCGTGTCTGGCCTCTGACGACCGTCTCCTCCATGGCATGCCATATGACGCCATTTCCACTCTTTGGCAATGCATCATCCCGCAATCAACAACTGTTAAAAAAAAGTTCCAAAACTGAACCAGAAGTTGAACCTGAGGGAGAGCAGCATCTGGCGCTGTCCTGTACGAGCGGGAGAGATAAAGAAGGAGAGACAGAAAGCCAGATGGGGGATGGGAACACATGCGACACTGTGAGAAAAATCTAACTTCCTTTACACAGAATAAGATGTAAGTCTTAAGTCGCTATGAAGTATTACACATTTTACAAATGAATCTACTTTAGCTATTCAACGTGCTTTGAAATGATTCAAAACCACCCAAAGCATCTTTTCAAGCATCTAAAACTATAAACTTCTAGTCCATATTTGACAAGGAGCACACTGGAACCAGAATAGAGATTTAAAGAGGGAAACACACTCATACACGACACACCTGCTTTATGGATAAATATAACACACGTGTTGCGAAGGAGGGTCATCATGACCCACAACGGGAAAATAATAAAGCAACGCTGCTGTAAATAATTTAGAAGTGATGAGATATTGCATGAAAAAAATGGGGAAACACCCTCTTATTTTCAGTCACAGCCATAAAGACACTCCCCCTCCCTCTCTCCACACGAGTGTGTGTGTGTGTTTTTTCCCCCCTCCACCCCCACCAGACCCTCACCTTTTTTTTTTGGACAGTGATATGGGGGACCCAGATGTTGCATCTCACTGGCCAATGGTGAGGAGAGAGGGGCTGGATTGGTGTGCACTCCTGATGCCCCCTTCTTTTAAAAAGCTCCTGTCTCAGCCACTCAACTCTCATGAGGAGGAGCAGGGGGGAGACTCTGAGACTCTGCTTGACCGGCAGCATCACTCACACCTGAGGAACCACGCTCAGCTGCGCCTGAGAGCCCAGGAACCGGCCGTTTTGATTCTTCCTGAGTCTATATCGATGCTGTAGGGGATCGGAGAGAAGCCGACGCCGTCATCGCTGAGAACTTCAGCAAAATGTTGGAATTAAAAAAGCTGGCCCTCCTGCTGTCTTTTCTGACCTCTCTGGCTCTCGGTCAAGGTAGGTGAAGAGATGATTGAGCTGTAAAATACCAGAATCACTCACAGGAAGCAAACCCGCATCACATGATCAGCTCTGGTGTGAGTTATGTGTTGGATTTATTTTTTCCTTCCCCATGTGAATTCCGCTAATCACCTAAGTGGCGGGAGCCTGTTTGACTAATCAACCGTAATCTCAGAATATCAACCAGACTTCTTGAAACAAATGACGGGAGCTGAGCTGATTGTGATTAGATAAAAAGCATTACTCGTGTTCACTTAGACATTTTAAGAGAAAAAAAGAAAAAAAAATGAAGATTTGAGTCAAAGTGAATAGCGGTTACGGTAAATTTCGCCCAGGAAATGAAGCTCTTTTATAGCAAAGGAACCTGACTGTGTGGTTATTGTGGGTACTCCATCTTGTTTGGTCCTAATTGCTGATGTTAAGACACCGGCACGTTTCACTAGCGTGATGATTAACAACATGTGGGGCTTGTTGGGGAGGTCGTGAAAAGCGCTCCTCCTGGTGCAGTTTACCCACACAGAACGCTCTGCTGATGACAGTCAGAGAGCTGCCGGGGATCAAAGGCATTCAGGAGCACGTGCTTTATTTCTTCTCATGGAAAGCTGTCGTATAGTAGTAGCCACACACACCAAATCACCAGGAGAAAATAAACTCAACTTTTGGCTTTCCTAGAATATAGTGACAGAAATTACGCACCAACCTCCTGACATTTTACTGTTTTTAGAGCCAGAGTGACTGGACATTTCTAATATTCATAGCTAAATTTATCCGAGGTTTTAGGGCTGGTTAGGACTCTGGAATATAAGACATATTCCTTCCACATGACAAGCTTTTCCCTCCAGGTTCTGCACTCCTAATCCTTTGAAAGCCCAACACTCTTCCAGAGTGACACTGACTGTTTTTCCAAGGCTGTCCCTTTCTGTCCACCTTACGTCTGCTTCACCTCATTTTGGGAGGGTAGGAGTTCAGAAAGGCAATCAGCATTGAAAACAGCTCAGTATTCTTTATATCATGCCGGGTTCTCAGGCCCTTGAGATGCAATGCCATTTACTAATGGGTAAATCACACGATTAGCGGGCAATGAAAGTCGATTTAGGAATGGTGAGTCCTCCTGAATCTGGCCGAGCAGAACACTGCAAAAACTAAATTGGCCTGTAAAATGGAAGGTTTCGTGCCACTCTCCTTTAACGGCACATCAACATCCTGCAGGACGGCGGTGCACTTGCTGGCCTTCTTTAACTCTCAAAGCCTGTGCCAGCCGCCCCGAACAATATAAATCCAGTCCCCTCGGCAACGAGGAGCTATAATCCCAAACCGAGTGGCCAGCTTTTCCACCTGCAGCTTTTGTGCTTGAGTAAATGGAACAAAAAGAGGAGTACGAGCACAGGTAAAATGACTTTACCGTCCCACTTTTTTCCCCTGTCAAAGTGCCCAGCATGTCACTCTTTCCTTTCTCCTTTTTGATGAGCATCTCAGCCCCCCGGCCCTCCACCCCCAGGCATTGAGTCCACCACCAACCCAGAGACTGCACGTCTCCATCCGTCCATTTTGTCTTCATCTGTTTGCCTTTTGTTTCTAATCTATCTCCCTCAGGTATTTCTCGCAAATACTTTCCCCCCCACCTTTTTTCCCCTTCTGTCTCTCCCTCACTTCATCAAATTCGGTCCTGGCTTTGTTCTCTGTCCCTCTCTTCCAAACACCTTAAAGCTCACAGATTTATGAGCTAACTTTTCCTATTTCGAGGTGGCAGCTGTTGCCGGGTGCCCACTGGTGGGTCGGGGCGGTGTTGCCACCCCCCTCCGCACGAGTCTTCCAGTCTTCCCCTTCTCCTCTGTTTGCATAAGATCGCTCACACACCGATTTCGGTTCTCCAGATGCTGACCACTGTCTGCTCCGAACACAGGGCTGTCTGGCCAGCCGACTTTAATGACCGAGACAGGGACCACAACGGATCAAAGGGAAAGCCACATATCCTCATTAGGGACAAGCTCCAAACCGTATCACATCTTTCTTTCCTCTGGCTTCTCTATTTTCTTTGTAACTTATGTATATACGCAAATGCCAGGGATTTAGTTATCGCGGGACTAATCGGCTGCTTTTTCTCTTTAGCTATTTCCAGCTCTTGGCTGTGTACCTGTACACAGGTGCAGAGGTTCAAGTGAGGACTTACAGTTATTAAAATGTGGATATTCAATACCGCCCGACTATTTTTAATGGCATGGCGGAGACAATGCGGTGCTCCTCAAATATCTTCTTTTAAAGAGCATAAAACCATAGTTATACATTTGCAAATCCTTAAATCGTGTGGTTTATCTGCATCATTAGCTAATGTCAGGGACGAAATTGCAGATTATAAGTAGGAGCAGATGTTTTAGAGCTCAGACAGATTTTCAGGAATCAGGAATGTTGGGGTGAAAAGAGACATAGACCATAAGAGAAAAGAGCACAGTCCCATGAAACCCCACACACCTCGGCTGAGAAGCCAGCCAAACACATAAACAGCTTCCATATGACATGGCAAGTGGATCATCACACACACAGGCCCACAGAGACACATCCCTCAACCCCATCTTATCTGAATTCAAGCGCACGCGTCTTCAACGAGCTATGTCCACAAGTTCCACACATTCCCGTTCGAGGGGCTAAATTTGCTTTTTCTCTAATATGCTACGTGACAGGAAGAAGCGGGGCTGTTTTCACATCCTCTCCCTCATGTAGGGATACGCAGGAACCCAGACCCTTCTATTTAAGCCTTGTCCGTCTGCCAACATTCATCTGGCACGGCCATACCTTCCCGAATACGAGACCATTCTGGGTGCAATTTCATAAAGTCTTTCATTTTCCCCCCTCATTCCTGTCTACGGCAGTTTGAAAAAAAAAAGAAAAAAAGAAATCTAATTATGATCTGGTCAGAACAGAAGTCTGCCCCTCAGAATGTGAGCGAGGGCAAAGCTGTCGTTTGCAAAGCCGTTGATGCTTATTAATAGAAGATTTGCCTTTGTGCAGCTGGGCTGTAAAATACCTACTGCGCTTTAGACTGGACCTCTGTGACGTGGATTGTCCATTCCGAGGCTAAATAAGACACGGGCAGTTGTCACAACAGATGCGCGATGTGTAAAAAGGGCCAGAAAGGATGAAGACTAATCCAGTAGCACTGATTCAGAGCTTTATTTGAAGCTCACCTTGTTTGGCAATGAGGAAAGACAGAGCAGTTTTAGACTATTGGTGCTACTGTAATGTATCTGTTACAGGGTCCATGGTTTATGAGGGTCAGGGTGAGGTTGGCTAAGGATATATAGGTCACCTGAGAGCCCTGTGAAGTGAACATAAGCAAATGTCGCACTTAAATGACTAATGCTGTTGTTCTTAGGACGGGCCCAACCATCACCAGCTATACCATAATAAACTGTCACTGTCATAGAAGTGATTTGCAATGGAAAGACAAATGTTTTTCTTCTCATAGGTTGTTCCAGTAAGAAAAAGCCTAAATGAATCACCGGGTCAGCTGACAAACAACAAACGTTAGCTGTTGAAAGAGATTTCTGTCATCATCGCACAAAAACCAAACCCGCAAAAAGCAAACAAATCCTAATGAGGCAGCAGGGCACGCAGGGTGGATTTTTCTAAACAGAAATCAGAGGAAATCCTGAGTGCTAACCTGCTGGTTTTTGGCTTGAGGAATACAAGTTACGTGTCCGTTGATGAGGTGAATTCACTCACATACCAGCCACATGAAGCAGCGCCCCAATAAAACCTCGTGGCCTTTTAACAATTCATAAAGTGTTAATATGCCACTGAAAAACACAGAAGGCTCTGTGAGCCGGGTCCCTTCGTACCTGCCATGACTGAGGTCACCGCTCCAGCGTTTGCCTTTCGCTGGAGCTAATCCGGGTTTCCTGGTTTTTACTCCCTACAGCCATTAGACACCTCGTTAAAGTGGAAGACTTGTTTGCTGTTTGGTTTTCATTGTGGACCCATTTTGAAGAGTGATAATCAGGAGCCAAAAAGCTCTGCTGTGAATTTGATTTGTTTCAGTGTGAGAGGGAGGTGCAGCTTAACGGGAGCACAAATGCTGCTTCAGCGTTTTTAGGACAGAAACGGATGCACCTGAGAATAAAGGTCGGTCTAAAATTAGCTTTGAGGAAGGGAATTAAATTTATATAAATGCTTTTTGTGATTAAGTTTATAGCTAGTTTTATAGCATGTCAAATGTCTGTCTTTTGGGAAAGTGTAGGAGACTACATCATACACTAAGTGAAAAAAAACAGGCCTTAAAGGGGACAACATGAAAAGGAACAGAAATGCTTTTAGCTCCTTGCACAGTCACCATTCTCTTTTTGAATAGAATTTAAAACTTTGTGGCATCGAGCACATGCACTGATTAAGTACATCTGGTGTCATATTGTTCTATTCCCCTTTAAAAAATGATTATGCATACATTTTCTCTCAGATCCCGCCTCACAATTCAGAGGTCAGGCCAGGTCAGAGCTGTCCGCAGAGCTCAGATTAATGCCCAAACCCTTTTTTTATGCCCACAGTCGAAACATGGCAGAATTTCCTTAAAAATGCACTGGTGTCCTCGCAAGCACAAGTTTCTCTAAAAACTCAACATCAGACCAGTAGAAACAGGCCTTTGGACATTTAGCCGAGACCTTCTGTCCTTTCCTTCTTTTACTCTGTGGCACAGTTTCTTTCAAAGACGTCTGATCATGATCCATGTTTACTTCTCAGCTACATTTTATGGGGTATTTGTGAATGTCACTTCTTTTTTTTTCTTCTTTTTTTGTGAATGTAACTTCTGATGCAGCTTGTTTTGCTGAAGTGATCCATTTCTGTATATTTAGGCTATGTCAGTTTCAGCCATCTTAGTGATTTGATCACAAGTTTCTGCTCAGGTTTACATTCTCGTCCTTTAAACACTGAAATTATCAAACATTTATAAACATTCTGAAATTCAAAATGATGTTGTTAATTTGAAAACTAAGACTTTTGCAGATCATTCCAGTCTAGCTTAATAGAATTAAGTGTTCAAATAATCCAAGAACCGTCCCACATTCAGCATGCTGACTGGATGAAGATCTACTTGCTCCATCATTTAAAAAAAAAAAAAAAGATTAAAATCCAAACTTGTGTGAATTAACAGATTGTTCTATCTTTAACATTGTATTTCTTCTCATAACTTGCCTCGAATGGCCCCCTAACCAACCGTTTTGCCATGTGTTGCACACCTGAAATGAAAAACATTAAGTAAATCAAGCACATTAACAAACGCTGCTGTAAGAAAACATTAAATATGTTGGCTTCGAACTCTGGAACGAAATGAACATTTGAGTCAATGCAAGATTTTTTTTCCACACCATCCAAGCTTTCATTTTTTCGACAGATAATTACACAAAAGCTGACTGTTGGGAAAACTATTTGATTTGACTCGCTAAACTAAATCTACAGACGGAGCCACATCTGCTCAACAGATCAGTGTGAAAGCATTTGATTGTGGTTCTCAAGTCATCCCGGTGCATCGGAGACCCGAAGCCAATATAGAAACATTGCAACGCTTTTGTTAAAGCTAGGGCCATAAAAACCAACAACAATGGCTGCCAGTCACCTGGCTGTATATGTTATCCTAAAATAAACATCCCCCATTTTGGACAGGCGTTCTTTTTTTTGTCTGTCTTTCTTCTATTGAGTTACAATCCTTTCTTTTGCTAAATCTATCAAGAAATATAAATAAAACTTTAAAGGTTGAAAGAAAAAGAGCTGGCATGACAATAAAGACTTGAAGTTTGCCGTAAAACCAGCAAGGACTGGGATCAGTACTGGTCTCTGTGCTGGGATTCTCTTCTCATAAACTCAGCAGTGCTTCTACACACACACACACACACTCATGAGCTACTTTTTGTTTCTGTCACAGGCCGTGGCATTTCTTTTTTCCGCGCGGCCAAAGTGAGACTCGGAGATGAAATGTCAAGCAAACAACCGACGTTTTTTCAAAACAGCAAAAAATTAGAGGAGGAGAAAGAAATGAATCATTAAACTTCAAAGCAGAAGGAAAAATGTCACGGACCATGCTTGATACATCAAAGAGCCAAGAGCACAATGAATGTCACGTTTAATATTTTTCTCTTTCTCATAAGGCAACCTTTGTTTCCATCCTATTTCGCTCACAAAGTGACTCAGTGATGCAAGCATGCAATGTTCATAAAGCCAAAAAGTCACATTCCAACAAAACTTTAAAGATGCTTGAAATTGGCGTGTAATTATGTATGCATGCCTAAGCGACTGTTCCGGTGAGCCTTTCTGAGTCCACGGAGCGCCCTGATTGGGCTCAGCTGGAGCTTGATTAGCGCTAATGGACAAACAGGACAAAAGAGGTCAGAGGGTGACGTGAGGTGTGACAAAGCGCTGATGCCGAGGATCCTCACGGAAAATAGATTTGGATGGGCCCGCTGAGCCAGAAGATGAGAGAGGAGACATGGGAGATGTAGAAGAGAAGGAAATACAGGGAGTAAAAAAAAAAGAAGGTAGCGACGGAGTGGGAGAGAAAATACAGTTTTATGACATAGTCTGTGGTGATGAGCGGCCCAGAGGCCTGGACGCTGTATCACCATCAGAACAAGTCAGCGTTTGACCAAAGGGAGTGAAATAGAAATAAAAATCCTTTCTCTATGAAGGCAGATCCAAACATGTCCAGCCATTCGACTACACTTGTGTATTACGAACGTTTTCAATTCTTCAGATGTCACGATCCGGTAGAGACGCGTTTCAGTTGTTTCTTTAGGATCACGGTGTTGTGTTTTTCCTTCTGTGTGCAGGATCTTTGAGGACCAGGAGCACTTCAGACAGGATCAGAAGGATGGACTTAAACAGCTTCTCTGGTCCGCTGACAACAGGTAGGTTTCGTTGTGGGTTTCGTTCTTTAGCATGTGTGTGTTTGTAAAAGTGTCAGCAGCATCAGTTGTTGTGAGTCGGAACAGTTTGCAATCGTGTCTTTCTTTGAAGACTCGAACCGTTACACACTCATTATGACTGAAGGAATTTCTGGAAAGTGATGTGCTTCCAAGTTTTTTTTCACTATTAAAAGAAGTGATGGATGGCTGCCTGAACATTTGTATAAAACATAAACATCATAAACAGTTACTCATGTTTTGGAGATTAACAAAATGGAAATACTAGAGGCTTTCTCGCCTTGAATCTAAGCTGACCTGTCGTCATCTAAAAAGCAGCTGTATTACTAAGGATATAGTTTACTCTCTGAAGGATGCTCCTTTCAATCACTTTGCGCTTCTATTTCCAAGTTTTTTATTTTTAGAAGCCATGTATAACTTTGCGAAAGAAAAATAGACCATCCCTTACTGCTAATGGGTCTGTTTTCATCCCAGTCCTTAATTTTTTCTCATGACGTCGTCGTTGGGGTTTCAGAACATGCCAGAGACGGAAACAAATAGACTCTGTACTTAATCTGTCAATCCAGGGGGGGCTTGGAAAGAACTTGAACCAAGTAAAGCTCCCTGGTGTACAAAAAGTCAAAAATGAAATGGCAAACGCAGACCTCCTCTTCGTGTCTGCTCACATCGCTTCTGTTTTTCCAGCTTTGTCGTGAATGTCAAGCACTAGAACCCCCCTTCCCTCGAATATTTCCGGAATTTCCGTTTGTTTTGTTCCCCTTCTATCTTCTTTTACTCTAACCTTCGGTCCATGTGCTGGCAGGAGTGACCGAGTGGACCTCTTGGTTCAACATCGACCATCCCGGTGGGAACGGGGACTACGAGCGGCTGGAGGCCATCCGCTTCTACTACAGGGAGAGGGTCTGCGCTCGGCCCACGGCCATGGAGGCCCGCACCACGGAGTGGGTGGCGGCCGCCGACACCGGAGAGGTGGTGCACTCCAGTCTGGAGAAGGGCTTCTGGTGCATCAACAAGGAGCAGCCGCACGGACGGGTCTGCTCCAACTACCACGTCCGCTTCCAGTGTCCCCCAGGTAGTCCCGGCCGGGGCCCCTTTTGCTCGGCGCAAACCGTAGCACAAAATTCCAGCTCTGAGCGTTTATTTTCGCTGTGCGTTTAGTGCAGAGCTACTGGACCGACTGGGCCGAGTGGGGCCCCTGCTCCACCGCGGCCTGCGATGACGTGGGCATCCAGGTCCGTCAGAGGAAGTGCGTGAGCGCGCAGTCCATGCCGCTCCTCTTCGTTCCGGCGTGCCAGGGCCACCACTCAGAGAGGAGGGAGTGCTCCACCCCTCCGTGCACAGGTGGCTATTCCAGCGTCCGTTCAGGAGCTGAGTCCTGAGAGGAATGTAACAGTCTGGCTGACCATAAATATTCAGTCTCAGCTGAAATTTTATTAGATTTTTTTTCAAAATCAAGCCGCAAATCTATTTTTTTTTTCAAAATCAGGCCGCAAATAAACGTTTTTTTTTCAAAATCAGGCCGCAAATCTATTTTTTTTCAAAATCAGGCCGCAAATCAATTTTTTTTTTCCAAAATCAGGCTGCAAATCTAATTGTTTTTCAAAATCAGGCCGCAAATCAATTTTTTTTTCAAAATCAGGCCGCAAACCTAATTTGGAGAGGGAGATGCGATTGCATTTTAAATAAGCTAATATATACTATTAACATAAATCTCTTTTTTGGCGTTACAGACATTGAAGGCTTAAATGAATCATTTTGTAAACGTGTCGCTTTCTCCTGTAATTTTCCATTAGCCAAGTGGAGTCCCTGGGGCCGCTGGGGGACGTGTTCAGTGACCTGCGGGGGGGGTCGCAGGACCAGGAGACGGACCTGCGTCAGAACCTCGGTGACGGTGACCTGCAAAGGACGGCCTGTGGACGTCCAGAAGTGCGGGAAGAGACCGTGTCCTGGTACGCAGAGCCTCGCTCCTCTCACTTGGACCCACTCCCAAAATGTCTCCCTCAGCCCACACATCTGTTTATCTGTCCTCCTGACAAACAGTGCAGTGCCAGCGGGTGTGTGTGGAGGGCCGTCCCAGTGAGGACTGCAGCCGGTGTGTGTGTGAGGGACACGTGCTGCGAGGGGCCGTCCGCAGCCTGACCGGAGTCCCCGTGGCGGGAGCCAGCGTGGCTCTGGCTAGCCATCCCAAAGACGTCCGCGCTCACACTGACCAGAAAGGGGAGTTCAGCCTCACTGGAGTCTGCTCCTCCAGCTCAACGTCGGTCACCATCAGGAAGGAGAAGTTTGCCCCTATGGCCGTCTCTACCTCAAGCAACTCTACGGGTGTGTCCTGGCTGCAGGCTGTCCTCAAATCAGCCGGTAAGATCTGGTTATAATCAGAGGATGGAAGAGTATTTAGTCATTCCTTTGTTTTACAAGTAAACTGACCATCACTGTTAAACAGCCCATGATGGAACATCCGATCGAATCTTATGAGCTCTCTGCATCATTACATGAGCAAATCAGAAAAAAGGTGTCTACGTTTTGTGTCTCTTTGCTCCCACAGAAAAGCCGTATATCGTGAAGCACCCAGAGGACAAAGTGCGCTACGAGGGGGGGCGGGTGCAGCTGTGCTGCGCGGCCACGGGATCTCCAGCACCCGACAAATACTACTGGTGAGAAAAACAACTGACGTTGACGTATTACTCTGAACGACAAGAATTAATTTTTTTCCTACATCTGCATCTGTAGCTTCTGAGGCTCACTCTGCTCTCGGTGTAGTAGATTATCTATGGCTTTTTGCATTGCAAATCAATCCTTCATGCAGTTTAGACTTTTGTATGCGGTTGTTTTCTTTCTACCAAAAAACTGAAAAAATTATTTTTTAAATGTATTAAACATTGAGCTTTATGTTTCTTTGCTTATGGGAACATTTATCTAGGTACCACAATGGGACTCTGCTGGACAGGAAGGTGTACAATTATGAGGAGGACCTTGTTCTTCGGGATCTAAAATTAGAGCAGACGGGAGAGTATTACTGCAAAACCAGCAGCCCTGCAGGCAGCATCAAGTCATCCCCGGCCCTGCTAACTGTCATTGGTATGTACTGAATACGATTTCATACAGAAATACCTCAGGAACTATTCATAGAACTATTTTCTTTTAGATGAAAGCCTATGTTCATCCTCCAAAAACACAATTCCTGTAACGCTATAATTTGTCTTCATCAGCCTTAAGAGAAAATAATTTATTATGATAACAGAAAGCGGCTCAGAGGGATTATTGGTCAGGAAGGCTTCTACACCAGTGTGTTTGACAAAGACATATGTGGTCTTCCACAGGTTCAATTGAAACCACTGACAAAAAGCAAACAACCACAAATCACTTGACTGTATAAAGAGCAGCTGCTGCTCAGATTGAACACATGCTGCAGTTCTCTGCTCCAACCAAGTCATCCATGCGAGATGTCTGTGCATCACAAAGAATCAAACAAAACCGCAGAGCCCTAAAGAAAAGAAAAGTCAGTTTGCTGGCTGAAAAAAAGGAAAAAATATGAGGGAAATATGGCTGCGCCGAGAAAAGATTTAAATCATGTTTACACTGGTTAGAACAACTTCCCAAACATTTTTCCTGTGTGAGATGTTCCAGGCAACGTTTCTCCACTAAAATCCAGATTCAACTAATGATCGTCTTTAGATTTTGTTTTCCTTTCTCTCTGTTAGACAAATGTGTTTTCATGTCCAGTGTAGGGAGCTGCCCGGTGGTAAAACTCTCCAGGTGCTCATTAGTTCAAGCATAGATTAACAAACAGGGTTTAATGAAACAGATCTACCTCAGGCCACAGACAAATCCCTGCTCTCCAAAAGTCATTATGGCCACAGAACACCTGCTCCACAGGATAAAACACACAGCTTGTTAGTTTTTTTTCCATTCTATCTTACAGATATCTGAGTTGAGCCCACTGAAAATGTTTTGTTCTCTTGGTAATAACATCTGCAGTTATGTCATTTCTGGTACAAACTGTACTGACCCGTGTGCCTGCGAAAACTTGAGCATGATATCATGCACATTAATTATCTGGAGAATGTTTTGCAGAACAGTCATTAATTTATTTTCCTGCTCCCAGTCGAATGGCTGGTAAATAAATGTTCTCTTTAACTTCCTGTATAATTATGTTTCATGATCTAATTTAGAAAGTTGTAGTCCCTGTGTGCACGTGTGTGAGGTTTTAATCAAATTGTGGGTGTTTGTGCATGCATGTGAATGTCATTATCATTCTTTTTTGTTCACTAAACATTTGAACTTTAATGCGTCTTTTCTTTAGATGCATTTTTGTGGTAATGGTAGCACTTCACATCAATAAGTTAATTCATTTTGTCTAATTCACAGCAAAAGGAACACCGGCATGCAATTCGGCTCCTGAAACGAACCTCGTCAGGCTCCCGATGGACTGTGTTCAGCCCGGAACCACCTCCAAGTACTACAACGCTGGCCGCTGCCCTCACAACAAATGTGCCGGTTCTTTAGATTTTGACATGCGCTGCCGAGATGGAGAGGGCTTCTGCTGCGGCGTTCAGCAGATGGAGAGCCGAGTCATTGACTGTGGTAGGTATAACCTTCCGATCCGGGCTGTGACCCGGTGCAGCTGTCAGAAGTGCGTGCAGCCCACGGTGCTGGTGCGCGGCAGGGTGGTCACGGCCGACAATGACGAACCGCTCCGTTTTGGACACGTCTACATTGGAAAAGAAAGAGTGGGGACCACTGGATACCAAGGAGGCTTTACTCTGCAAGTCACCCCTGACACGGAAAGACTAGTGGTCAATTTTGTCGACCCAAATCAGAGGTTTCTGGATACTCCAAAGGTGTTCGTGTTTGACAAGAAAAGCGGATCCATTTATCACAACGTAAAAGTGATGAGAAAACAGATCCCGATTGATATCAATGCAGCAGAGACCAATTTTATTGACCTAGGCGAAATTGAAGGTGAAGACCCTATAGGACAGTTGGTCATTCCTCCAAATTCTTTCCATAAGGACAATGGAGAAATCTACGAGGGGACTGTGAAAGCTAGTGTCACGTTCATTGACCCGAGAAACATCACAACAGCAGCTGCAACCCCTGGTGACCTGAACTTCGTAGATGATGAGGGTGACATGCTCCCTCTGAGGACCTATGGCATGTTTTCCGTAGACTTCAGAGATGAGGCCAACAAGGAGGTGCTTGGGGCTGGAGCAGTCCAAGTCCTGCTCGACACACAGCATGTTAAAATGGAGGAGCACATTCCCAAAATGAAGCTGTGGTCCTTAAACCCAGACACCGGGGTTTGGGAGGAAGAGACGGACTTCTCGTACAGCAAGGCCACTGCCGGAGGTCATGGACGAAGCAAGCGTGAGGAACGCACCTTCCTGATTGGCAACATGGAGATAAGAGAACGTAGGCTCTTCAACTTAGACGTGCCTGAAAACAGGCGCTGCTATGTCAAAGTCCGTGCTTACATGAGTGACAAATTCTTACCCACTGAGCAGCTGGAGGGTGTTGTGATCAGTCTAATAAACCTTGAGCCCAAACCCGGTTACTCATCTAATCCCCGAGCGTGGGGCCGCTTTGACAGTGTCATAACTGGGCCCAACGGAGCCTGTTTACCAGCTTTTTGTGATGCAATGAGGCCTGATGCTTACACAGCCTATGTCACAGCAATGCTGGGTGGAGAGGAGCTGGAGGCGGCTCCCTCCTCCCCAAAGATGAATCCAAACATCATCGGAGTGTCTCAGCCCTATCTGGATAAGATAGACTACCAGCGTTCAGACCACGAGGATCCGGCTCTGAAGAAAACAGCGTTCAGAATCAACCTCGCAAAGCCAAATCAAAACAATCTCGATGAGACCAATGGACCAATTTACCCATATCAGAATTTGATTGCGTGTGAAAATGCCCCCGTGGATGCAAATCATTTCCGATTCTTTCGAGTGGAAAAGGACAAATATGAATACAACGTTGTTCCCTTTGAGGAGAACGACTTGACGACCTGGACAGGGGACTATCTCTCCTGGTGGCCGAACCCCCAGGAGTTCAGAGCATGCTTCATCAAAGTTAAGATTCACGGCCAGAGGGAAGTGATGGTCAGGTCAAGAAACATGGGAGGATCACACCCAGAGACGAAGGGCAAGCTTTATGGCATTAGGGACATTCGCAGCACCCGTGACATGCGAGAGGCTAACACCTCAGCTGCCTGTGTTGAGTTCAAATGTAGCGGCATGCTGTTTGATCAAGCCCAGGTGGATAGATCCCTGATATCATTGCTTCCACAGGGCAACTGTCGCAGGATCAACACAAACAGCCTCCTACAGGAGTATCTCACTAAACATCCACCAGTCGCTCACAACAACGAGTCACATGCATTCACCATGCTGGCACCAGTTGATCCTTTAGGACACAACTACGGCATCTACACTGTCACAGACCAGAACCCCAGAGTGGCAAAGGAGATCGCCATTGGGCGCTGCTTTGACGGCACCTCAGATGGTTTCTCCAGGGAGATGAAGTCAGATTCCGGAGTGGCACTGACCTACAGCTGTCCGGAGCGGAAGATTAACAGGGAAAGCCTCTTCCAGCGACTGCAGACCAACCCAGGTCAGACACTGTCTCAGATGGCGAGGGACATGAGGGAGCTGGAGGGTCTGCAGGTGCAGAGATCATCCACCCAGGTGGTGGCTTATCCCTCAGAGCAGCGGGGCAGGGCCCAGAGTCGCCGAGTAGGCTCCACAGCCAGGAGGAGAGCGTCCATCCAAGCACAGCAGCGCCAATAGAAGTCCAAAGAAGTAGGTTTAAAAGCAATGGTTTGATCCATGTTTGCACTGGTAGCAAGAAAAGCAATGCCTTATATGTTCTTTCTGTTTCATTTTAGGTCATTAGCGGAGGCTGACAAGACGGCATCAAGTCTGGACAGTAAAAGTTATTTGTGACATAAGGAGTATGAATTCCCTCTCGTCTAAGAAAATCACAAAACTGAAACAGACAGTAAGACACTTATTGTTCTGCTTGTAACTTGAAGAATTTAGTATACGACACCGTACTATATTTCCATCCTCCCAAAAAAGGAACGTGTACATTTTTTGTATTTGTAATTCAGTGACTGACAGTAATTTGGCTTTGTTCTTATTTTATGAATGGGTATACATTATTGGCAGTTGACAAGGGAACTTCACAGGCCTCATTTGTGACATCTGTCTGTGATATAATTCAACCCAAACCGTCACACTGTAAGTACCATGTTAGGTTCCAAACACTTCAGCGATTTCCACTGAACTCATACGGATCAAGACTTGACAGAAACCGACATGAACTCTACAGCAGACACTTAGCCATTTTTCCACAAACAGAGAAATTCTCTCCATCAAGTGGAGACATTCAAAACAGACTGTGGGGTGAGGCATGCCACCCAGGATCAGGGGATATTTTTAGGAAAGCTTCTTTTATTTTTCTTTCTAACTTGCCAAGTTACCAGCTGTAGTTCAGCCAAACATCGGTTCACACCTACCTAACATGCACAAGACGACATTTTCGGCAAGACGAGCTCGACAGTATAAGCAGGCTGTTTAAAGTGAAGATCCTGATTGTGAGTTATTACAAAATTTCCCCCTTTCTCTGCACATTCCAAGAAAAAGAAAATCCCACCACCTAACAAAATGGTATCCAAACAGTGTATTCTTCAGTGCTTCATTTTCACAGCAACAGGCTCATTCAGGGTCTAAATGAACTTTGTTTTTGGTGTTGGCTGATCTTTTTGTGTGCTTTCTTTGTATCTTGAAGTGCAATAACTATAATCAAACTTGAGAATTATTCAAATTCGCATGTTTTTAACTATTACAGTACGTGTAAAATGCTACTGGTGGAAGGAAATCAGTTGGGATGCAGGAGTGCTTGAGTTCCTGAACCCTTTTGAGCTTTCTGTATTTTTGCATACATTTTACCCACACACGTTTTCTTTAACATACTTTACGAAGAAAATTAAATTCATTTAATATATTCTGGAAATGATCCAATGATACATGTCAAAAGTTGCCATTAGAATTGGACGTATCCCCCAGAGACCAAAAACTGAAACAGAAAATAGATAACATTTGATTAATTCTGCACAATCTCTGCAAAAATCACATCACATTTAGGATTTTTTTAAGGGTTCAAAAACTTTCAAGCACTAGTGTGTAGGGCAAGCAATGTGGTTACACCTTGTAACCTGTAGGTACAGGGAGATCTTGCACAGGACTCATTTTAGTCAGTATTTCTATGTAATCCTGTTACTGTTTTAGGCTTTTTATCCATAACTCAGCATATCTTATAATTTCTGCATCTAAATTGTTTTCTGTGGTCTTTCTGAGGGCTTGGAAAAAAGCAATTAGACTTTTTCTTGCAAGACGAAGATACAAAAAGTTTAAAAAATAAGTGAGAATGACCACATTCTGGTTGACTGAGGATCTACACCAGTTCATTTCTCTGGTTTTGTTAAACAGACTTAAAATTTCCGTCATTTCTATTTCTCAAAGAAATGCTCATTCATTTAAGAAAAAAGAGTTTTAACCCTGACTTTGTTTGCCATGTGTCTGTAAATGCCTGTATGATGGTGAGAATGTTCATGAATCACCCAAACATCCATGCAGATGTCCACACTGGCAGATCATTTGATTGCTAAACTATTTTAAATTAAATAAGAAATAAGCATGATGTTTACCTCGCAATGAAAGCTTCAGAACTCGTTTACTGTAGATTTTGTATGTGATATGCTCCTGTTAAACTAAGTCCAAAGAAGGCATTCTGGTCCTTGGGGATTTCAGCATTTTGTTGCAGGCAAATATGAGCCAACTGCTATTTAGAGATTAAAGTTTATTCTCTTTGGCAATTAAATGAGTTTGACTCAGACTTTTAAAACATCCAATCATGTTGATTTCCAGTTAACTCAAATTTAGCTTACTGATGAACACTATGGCAGGCTAAAGAGTGCTCTAAACAAATACTTTTACAATTAAAAAACAGCCAAGGATATTTTACCCCAAATGTGCAACACAGTAACTGACACGCTCTAAAAAGTCGTCTAAATCTGAAGCCTAATTCAAGCCAAAAATCGCTGGGAGAAGCGTTACTACTCAGGAAAAACACCTCAATCAGACAGCAACCCGTGGCACCTTCACGGTTATTGCTGACCTCTCAAACGGCTGTATGCAGAAAGGTAGTGCTGAACTCCAGATAAAAGCAGCGTTTCCCAGCAGCAAATGCAGCATCCAGCCAATAAGAGTGGTGGCAATTAAATCCAGGCATCGGAAGAGATAAATCCTCTAAAAATGCGATGATGACTGAGGTCAAGCGAGGGGAATCAACACATGTAAAGGAAATGTAAAACCAAAGGCTTCTGGAGAAAGATGATCAACTATGAGATTATCAACTGATGGGTTTAATCACTTTGGAATTCTGTATGGGAGGGAGAAGAGAAAAAAAAGGAGACTTTTAAGTGATCTTTGACCTCACAGTGTGTCACTTAGAGAATCGGGGGCTTGAAAATTGGTTGCACATGAAAGTATGCAACATATTTCCTGAGAGGACTTGACAGGAGAATTGCCTTATTCATGAGCAGAAGCTCTCAGGGGACGCTGACTGACAAGGCAACAATAATCCCTTGAGCAAACAATTATGTAAGGCTTTGCTCGCAAAATTAATCTGTGCTCTGCGAATAATAAAAATAATCTGCCTTTGAGGAACATCAAAGGAGGTCAAAGAACCAGTTTTGATTTAATGGCTTGAGAAACTTTCCAAAGTCTTCCGCATGGAAGAAAGAAATAAAGAAAACTTCCCGAATCCAACAGATAAAGCACATTGCAACAACTTGTTCCCAATGAAAAAGGAATGTTTATTCTCAATGAAAGCAGTCGTGGTAGCCTTTTCTTTTGTGTACTTCATTATTAATAAAGAAAATGTGGCTTTAAAGAGCTGAATGCTTATTTGTTTTACACTTTTTAAAAGTAATTTCAGAAAGAAAAAAACGTATCCAGGAAACGTGATGTTGAATATTCAAATGAAACTTTTTACAGTGTTAGGTTTGACATTTTAAGTTGATGTTACCTTTTCTTAGAAAAGGCTGAATAAATATCTGATAGCTTACCCCACAGTCAGCAGGTCTGTACTCACCTCCCATCCAATTAAATTTCAAATCACAGCAGAGAGGACGTGGCATGGTTGTTGGTACTTCATCAGGCCACTGCAGGTAACTTGGAGAGGGTCTTTGAAGGAGAAGAGCAATTTCCCTACCGCCCAGTTAACAGGAAAAATGTCAAATGAAGGACTAAATCTCCCTTAACAAAAACAACAACAACTCACAAGGGCTTTAAATGTACAACAGCATATCTGAGATGCTGCCTTCTTTCTGTTATACCTGATCTTGCATCTGTTACTGTAATGGCCCCATTAGACTTTTAAAGCCGTCAAGCAGAAGTCCTTAAATCCACAAAACCACCAGCAAAGTATCACCATTTTATCTGTGAGATCATAATTTATTTAGAGGGTCATCCTGGAAACTATTCCACTGCTTTCTATATATGAGGAGGGATGTAAATTTGCCACAGTGCTCCAGATGAGCACCACCACCACGCAAATGAAATCTCGATTATATTCTCTAGCTCGTTATTATTGCATGGTAAGACTGAGCGTTCTCTCTGTTTTTATGTGTAAATTGTGTATTGTGTTAAATCTTTACCTGTTTGAAGAAGAAACTGTAAATAAATGTTTTTCTGTTGACGTCTGGATTGATACATCTCCCATTTAAGCACTCCCAATTTAGAACAGACATTTTAATAAAGTTACACAACGGTGTGTGAAGGAGAATGTTGGACCGCACCATCGTCATCGCCGTTATGACCGAGCTCCGCCAGAAAATAGAGGAAGGGAAATAATATTCTAAGTGACTGCTCCTACAGCTGAGGGGTAAAGGAAAACACACTGGCATCAGTCTGCAGGAGCGCGCAGCTAGAAAAACACATTTCTCTTCAGTCAATGGTGCATTTCAGGCCGTGAGCCTTCCACTGACGCCTACCAGCCGCTCCTCTTAAATCCCACTGCGTCACAAATGGACAAACCTGTCTGAGCAAAGGCCAGACGTGGAGATTAATGTTGACTGAGACGTCTCTGGACTCGAGGCGCCACCAGTTAAAACTGCAGTGTCCTTTTCAGTGCCCTCTCTGCTTAAAGTCTTACGTAGACACAAAAAACAGAAATAAAAGCACCAAAACAAACTGTAAATGGGCGTTTCTGCAGAGTGACATCAGTAAAATTAAAGCCTTATTTATCCATGGTCACACATTTGAAAATGTGAATGGATAAATTTTAATGTGACAACAGCACATGACATATTTTCATTGTATAAAGGCTGTTCATTATCATTATCATATCATAGTAACATATAAAACAAAGGATGACTTATTGAGGACATTGAGATAAAAGTCTTGGTTAATTAACACATTCTGCTTTCTGGCTGCTACCATTTTCAATTTTGAAAACCAGTTTTTTACAAGTGAGCGTATTTGAATGACAACGTCAGAAAATAAATTAAATGCAGCTTTTCTTTTTTCTCTTTTTTTACAAAATAACCAAATGTCAAAATGTTAACTGAGGTAAAAGATTTTTTCAGCATTTTCATCGACCAACCAAAACTAAATAATTGACTTTTTAAATGCAGGTGTTAAAAGATATAAAAGGATGAGGGAACGAGAACTGAAACTTTTAATTACCATCAATTATTAATCGTCCATTTTCGGACTCTCTTCAGCCTCACAAAAAAACGTATCATATCATATTCAAGCTGCCATTTTTCCAACTCCGTTCTGCATTTTTGCCTGCAGAAGTGTTTTATTGGGCTCAACAGTAGTCTCTGTGTGCCGATTCTCCACCTGGAACGCGAGCAAGAGAAGCTATTTCATGATGTCATGTCCTCCTGACACAATCTTCCCGACACAGTCCTGACTTCACAGCAGAAGGGCTGTGAGAACAGGGGAGATAAGGCCTAGGAATGTTTTCGGATGGCTTCTGTTTGTGGAAAAGTCTTAAAAATAGGACAGAGCAGCTGCTCAGAAGCTCTTCAGTTTTTCTGAACCGCTGGAAAAGCTTTTAGGGATAGAGGACTTGGATGCTTCACGTACACGTTTCCATCCTCCAGCTTGACTTCGTACACTTGTTGCTGTGAAAGTGAAGACACGCGTGATGAAAGACATGAGCTCTGGGGGAAAGGAATGAGTCCATCGTCCTACTGAAGAGCATAAAGAAGCCATGATGCATTCAGTATCATATATTTAGGAACAAAGATGGCATATTCTGAACTCAAAATAAGAACAATTAGATGTTAATAATTCGTTAACTTGCGTAACGGTGTGCAGTTTGAAAGATAAATCTGTATGTAAAAGGCAGAAATATGCACAGATCTATAAAGCCGTGCATACATCTGGACGGATTTTATAAATCTGACTGTAAAATTACAGGCACATGCACAAACCCGGCAGGCAGACAATCCCCAAGTAAGACATTTGCTTATAAAAAAATAGCATCTGTACCACATCTGAATGGGCAGGAAAATGAAAGCAACACTCTAAAGAATGAATTCGACTCGTTTGTTGTCAATCTGGCCCGTCTCAGCTCAGGAAATGTAAAAAAAAAATGAAAGAAAGAAACTTAGACTGGAAAGAAGAAACAGAGGGAATCAACTCTGTGAAGTCAGAGCAGAGCATCCTGTGTCATAGAGAAGAAAAATGACTCATCGGTGCTGTGAACTGAGGTCAGGCATCTTTTGCTTTATCAGCAATAGAGAAATGCATGGCTCCTCCAATCCATGTTTGGAACACACACACACACACACACACACACACACTGATGTGCAGACTGGTCATCGTGTCTTTCTTGTTCTTTATCGGTTCTTTACTAAATGAGGATTCCTGCAACCTTGCAAAGTCTCATCTCTTCCTCTTTGTCAAATTCTGATTGAGTTTTATTTCCATGATAATTTTTTTAAATGAAATTTTAAGGGGAAAACCTGAGGGAGGATGAATCGGGCGGACACACTGAATCACTGACCTGTAGGGATGTCCCTGACCGCCCGGTCCTCAGGTCAAAGTCGTAGTCGTGCCAGGGGCAGAAGACCCGCAGGACCCCGCCGGCCTCCTCAATGTCCCCCTCGCACAGAGGACCGCCTGTTTTCACACAGAAACACTTCTTATCAAAACCTGTCCCCCTTCAGAGGGAAACTGATGCGTTCAGGGAACCCCTCCGGACGGCAGAGGGAGCCTAGGAGCACGGGCGCGCGCACCACACAGATGGTTTGCATTTACGGTTTCATTCTAGCAAACAAATTTCCCCCCTCCCCACCCCCGGTTTGTTTTGTTTACGAGTAAGCTAAAGGGTTAAACTGTGGGAGGATTCGAATGATTTTACCGGAATGTGCGCAGCGGGCATCCATGGCAAAAAACTCCCCCTGCACATAAAAGAGGCAGACATCTGCGGCGTGGCCCAGAGAAGAGTGCATGAGGCGGCATCGCTTCTTGGAAAGCTCCGAGGCCGGGCCTATGAGTCTCCACGAAAAGCCCCCCGCGCTTCCCTCTCCAACTCCGGAGCCAGACGCCATAAATAAACGCGAAATGACTCGGTTTAAATCACACGCGCTCTGCTACGGGCCTCGTTTTCTCCGCGACTGCAAAGGGGCTGAGGCTTTTCGCTGATGTGCAAATATTCCATCTTTAGCACTGGGTTAGGCTTTGCCAGGCTCGTTCGGGCTGCAGGCTGCGGACGGACGCGCGGCCGTGCGCACGCACCGGCGCACAGCCACCACAGCCACACTCATGTCACGCTCAGGGTGGGAATGTGTTGCAAATGCAAGAGTTAATCAGCTCCGAAATAACCCCCGGAGAGCCAGGGACGACACACAGCCCCTCCAACTGAATCTCGGCAGCTTTGTTGCGCACCGTAAACGCAACAGCGTTATTATGAATGGACCCAGACGGACCCCTTCCTGTTCTTTGATGAAGGTCAGTCTGAGACATTATAGCTCCCAGCTTCAAACAATGCAACCCCATTCGGTATGCTTCCTTGGTGGCCCGTTGGAGTTTATTGGGAACACGAATTGGACGCTTTCCACTAAGTGTGGTCAATGTGGAACATAACTTTTTATGTAGTGTATAAATAGTTCAAAAACAATTTCTCAATTATCAGTTACAAAGCCTGTTATTGTTCTTTCATGGCAGCGAGGCTCCGCTCAGCGCTGGGTTGCAGACAGGTATTTGGCCGGTTTCCTAAAAGTGAGCCTTTTATTTCCACTAAAACCTTTCTCAGTATTCGTACAAACAGTCTGTGTTTCTGCTTGGGACAGTGGTATGTTGACTGTGTTTCACCCCAGCTTTGTGGCCTTTTAGCTCCAAAAATACCAAAATAAAGTCGGCGTAAGTCAAAGAGAACAGATAAAACTGAGCAAGTTCACACAGTACTTACAATTACACATCTGCCTGTAATGTGACTGATGACTCATTTAACAGCTGTATAAAACAATTTAAGGTTATCACACGAAAAAATATGTCCAAGTTGCAGTTTGTCGAAGATACAAATATGTAAAATGATCATTAAGCTCGGTCAGATGTTATTCTTACTTGTATCCATTGTCAAATCGAGCCAGAAAACTGTGAACTTAACTTGTAACTAATGGAAGTTGGTGTCTGGACCGGAGTGATGTAGAACAGAGGCTGTCTGTTCAGTTTTGTGACTCTGAGTAAAAGGAGCAGCGCGAGCATGTAGGAAGTCAGCTATGCTGTGAGAGTGTTTTACAGGCGGGACGAGGGGGAGCTTCTGCATCTTGTCAGACATCGGATCTCAGCAAAAATAAATGAGAAGAACCGGCAAAGCCAATGTAAAGAAAACTGAGCTTTGTGACCAAATTCTTAATTACGCTAAGTCATGAGCACACAAGGTTCCAGCTGTGAACTTAGAGGGGTGTTAAAAGTAATTAGCATGGCGATCTTTGAGTTTTTTTAGGGTTTTTTTCATTTGAGCTACTCTCTTTGTTTTACTTTTGTCAGCAGTGTGTGCTCTAAGAACATCTACTGAACATGGGAAATGAAGTGACTGAAAGCTGCTCTTCATTTAACCCCAGCACATGGCGATAGCATTTCTGTGGAAACAGCTCGATAAAAACCCAAATAGCCAGAAGTGAAGCACAGCTGGGAATATTTTGCCATGCTGATTACAGGTAGGCTCGGTGTCATACGGACTCTCCTCGAGCTGTGGGGTCAGACTGGGAAATCACCAGAGCTATTTACTTTAGGCAGTTCTTCCGAGGTTTACTTTTATGAAAAGGTCAGACGTTCCTGAAATGGGTATAGGTGGACTCGTCCAGTCGGCTAAGTGGAGGTCAAACCTCTGCTTTGACCAGCTGAAATGCAACCTAGCATGCTCTGCACATGTACGGGATCAAATGAGAAGGACCCCGAGTCATTTTTGTGTTTTCTGGGGAACAGAAAAAAATCAAACAACCACTGAGATGAAAATGATGTATAATGGAAAGTTTGAATCATCATGCTGGAGGCGATGAATAAACAAAACTGCAGAAGATGAGGACGCCGCCAGAATGCTCACATGACGTTGCGCCGTCCATAAATTTCTCCGACTCCTCGTTCTACTTCTCAGACCGCTGGACATTGTTGCCGTTTGCAGGGGGACACAATTCGGTGCGGAGAAAATCTGACTCAGACGAGATGTTAGACTGAGAGTGGAGCCAAAACTCATCCATCATTAGCCTCATCTTGTCCACAACCCAGCAGCCGCTCTTGAAAGTCTCCTAACTTATTCTGGAAGAACGGCTCTGCCAAACCCAGCCAATGTGGTTTTCATTAGCCAAGCAAACGCATCAGCCAAACTCAAAACCCCGTCCCTCGCTTGCTTTCCTCATTGTTTTATTAAAGATTGTCTTTCAATAGCTTCTTGTTGTCATGTACAGAGAGGAAGACGGCCGGTTTTACGGGACCCCAAAGGAGCTTATTTTATGACAACACATGCATTTGTTTGCTTGGCTCCTAATGTCCTGAACTGTGGAGCATGAATAGTTACAGACTGTGTCAGCTCTAACACAAATCCAGACTTAATGTTTAGAGCACTGGACACTGAAGCCATAACTAATAGCCTCAGCCAAGTTCCAGTGTCGGCCCTCAAAGGCTGCCTTCCATCAAAAGTTCCTCCAAGTTTTGGAGACTAAGATATTTTTATCGTCTGCACCCTTTTTGCTCAGTTTTGGTCCTCTTCATGGTCCTGGTCCTCTTCCTGGTCCTGGTCCTCTTCCTGGTCCTGGTCAACATTCTCATATCTTTAAAGGTTTGAATCGCAGCGAACGTGAATGACATAATGAGCCCGATGATCAGGGCCCAGTTCTGCTGGACTGCGCTCTGCCCTGGTGCAGAGACTCTGCAGACGTTATTCAAACCACAGAAACGACCCATCTCAGGGTTTCTGCACCAAATGGACTTCATCCGCATGTAAATGCAAGCTACCGTCTTTTTCTAACAGAGTCGTTCGGGTTGCCAGTTTGACTTGGCAGTTTCAGTGCCTAATGTAACAATGAGAACGAAAAAAATCACGGAAAATCTTAGCCATGGTAGAGGAGACTGGAAGTGCTGTATGTGAAACAGTCTGCCCTCAGAGCCACATCTCCTTTGACATGTGCTTGAAGCTGTTTATTCACATCAAAATGAACCTCAGAGATACCGACCTTGTACAGTCAGACCTCCCCTCCAGCTCCTCTGTCATGGCGCTAATAGATCAGGTTCAGTGACCCATAAATTATCCTCAGACTTGGTTTGCAGAAACACAGAAGCAAGAACCTTTATATCTAGTCATGGGCTGATACATTTAGAAAATCTGCCCATTACGTGCTAATGTTGCAACGAGTCGAGCCTTTTTAAAGTTACTAATGCAGAGTTCTCCTTTTATAACGCCCCGTGGTCAAAAACAAGTCTGTTTTCTTATTTGTATCCTCATCTGTAGCTCACCTAGTGGTCTCTCATCTATTAATCTTCACTGGGAAAGTGTTCCTGTAATCAGTAGTAATCAGTTTCTGTGTTGACATTATAACACCACCTCTTTGAAGATGGATAGCAAAGTCTCAACTCAAGCAGGTGTACGAATGCTTAAGCTAGCAAAGAATTAAGCTTTGTTTAAAATAACCTTCTAGAATTGAGAACTGAGGATGGGAGGATATTGGATCGTTTGTCAGAAGAAGGCAGCTCTCAGTTTTATAGCGTTTAAATCTGGTTACCGAGGAGAACACATTCTTGTTCTTAATAGCATTCACGAGACGAGTCCCTGATTTGTTTAGCAGTGTTTATGTGCGCACCAGGTTCCTGGAAAACAGGATCGTGGTTTGGGAACTGTGTTTGCACCACCTGCATCTGCAAAATAGTCTCATTCCTTCGGCTGTTATGTGACCGTGCAGAGCAATAATCAGATCTAATGACACGAGATGGCTGCTCACACCATTAAAGATCCACGTTATTAAACTGCTGGCAGCAGCTAATGCAGACTGAAGGTATCCTTTGGCTTTTTCCAAACATAAAGCTGACTGAGAGAGGGAAAAAGGGTGAGAGGCATGATTACTCATCACAGAAAATTTTGCTCTGAGTTATGGAAACTTAAAAAAAAACGGGACAAAGAGCAGACCTCTTGCTGCTAATTGGCAATCAACTTTAGCACTTCTGCAGGTCAAAATTAAATTGAAACAATAACATTATAGTTGTAAATACTGATTAATGACCTAGGAAAGCTCGACTGGGTCCAGATTGCTAAACCGAATCAAACCTGATGGACACTTCATTATCCAAGGGCCAGCTTTCGGCAAACTGGATCTGTTTGACTTGAAAACGTCTTAAATTTTAAAATGTTTTCCTCCAACTGGTTTGTAGGGGAAAGAGATCATTTAACTGTGCACATGAGACGGGGAGGGCATGACATTGAGGCGCTGAGTCACTTTCTGTAAAGTCTACACCCCGACTCACCTTCACCTCCATGGGATTTGCGTCTGCAGGAGAGATCAGACTGGGCTACATTCCTTCCATCATGTCCTCAGTCCTGATTAAAACCAGACACTATACATCTTGTTCTTCAAGGTTCTGAGCTTAGTAGATGGGCAGCTAGGAGAGGTAATGTCTGAAAAAATAAGGAGGAGTTTGCATGTGAAAATATCCCCAATTTAATTTAAAATGGTCTCACTGGATTTTTTCCATAGTGTGCTTTTCAAACAGCAGTTATACATTAAATTTACATACAGTATGTATGTATTACAAGAGATACTTTGATGATGATGATTGTATAATGTGCCATATTTTGTTGCTATACCGAGCTGGATAAGGGATGATATCATTTGTATCATGTTTTACTAAATAAAACGCACAATAGGTTGCTTTAAGGGACAGAGTTTCAGGATTAGGGTCAGTGACCCTAACCATAATGCAGATCCTCAAATTAAGGGCACAAATGCCTGTTGGAGAATTAATAAGGGATATGTCAGCATTCGTTAACTGGTGTGGATTAAAATTTGTGTAAAAAAAACAAAGGAACAAGCTGACGTGAAAGCAAGTTTTTAGAGCTCACAGAAAGCCTTATCCACCAAAGAAATAGCTTCTTTTTTTTTACTACTGTGATGAAAATGATTCAAATCCCCACTTACATGGATGTTCAACATACATTTTTAGAGCTTCAGCAGATGAGCCTTTTTAAAAAGAAAAGGCAGTGGTTAAAGTTGATTACAGTCATCTTTAGACATGACGCTAACCCTGGACACATTGGGACTTAACAGTGAGTGGGTCGAAACTCGTTTCTTGGTAAGAGCCAATATTTTAGAGCCATCATTTTTCTAACGTGTTCATCATTCTCATGGGTGTATTTCTAACTCTTCACGTGTAGTTGCTCTGCACTCACATCTGCACACTGCACAGTTTCTGAGTGTCATTTTGGATACATATGCTTGCATGAACTGATGAATGAAGGGAAGGAAAGTTTGACTTTTTTTAGAAATCAGTATCTTGCTTGCAAAATTGGGATCATGACTTCTCAGTTAGTGGCCTA